TGTAGAATGGCTCCTTTATTATTGTTACAATATATTGAGATATGTTGTCTAAGGATCTTACCTTGAGCTATTACGTATAGCAATATGATGCAAATGATCAGAAAAGGATGCAAAGCCGTACGAAAAAGATCCCTGTAAAGTCGCCACGATACAGTACCAACTTGTCTGTCTTCCTCTTCCTCGACCATGTCTCTTCCTTCGTCTATAGCGTTTCTTCCAAGACAAGACATTTCAGTAGACTTGATCATAACACCAGAATCCATTGTTTCTGGTGTTTTGTATTCTGCAAGAAAACTACTGACGGCACCATCTTTGTCGATCTCGCTGTAGGATCCATGTCTCATAACACGGCCATCCTGCATCATGATAATATCATCAGTTCGGTGAAGGTGTTGCATTTGATGCGTTACAAGGATTCTTATTTTTCCAGCAAGTTCTCCGGAGATACACTTTTCAAAGATGTGCTGTCCAACTTTTGTGTCTACAGCACTCAGTGGGTCATCGAGCAAAAAGATATCAGCGTCTGAATACATGGCTCGGGCCAAGCCAACCCTAGCTCGTTGTCCACCACTAAGGCTTACACCACGTTGGCCTACCATGCTTTGATCTACTTTGGGAAACTGGTTCACGTCTTGATATAGGTCACATACATGTAACGTTCTTTCGTATTTCTTCTCCTCGTACTCCTTGCCTAACAAGATGTTGTCACGTAGTGTACCGGTGAATATAAAAGGTGCTTGGCTGACATAAGCGATTTTACCTCGAGTAAGAAGGTCTCCTGATTTAATTGGGATCTCACCCAGAATGGTCATCAATAAAGTAGACTTCCCACTTCCTACAGGACCCGTCACCATTAGCAACTTGTTAGAATTGAGATTCAGTGATATATCGTGAAGTGTACAGGAATGCGTTTCATCAAACCAGCCGCTTGAGACGTGATTAAGCTTGACAAAGGAAGATGGTCTGCCATCACTGATATCGCAGGAGCCTTTAAGAAGCTTGTCTGCCTTCGCAGCCATCTTTGAGGGGTTACCATTTCTCTCCCTTGCGTTAAATGTCCTCCAAAAAACGCCATTGTTTTTTTGTCCGCCTTTTGTTTCAGCAGCGTTTGGAAAGTCGTCCAAAAGATATTCTTCAATTCTGTTAAGTGACACAATGAAATGGCAAATTGTTCTTGCACCTTGAATAAGCAGACGCATCGACTCAGTTATATTGTTCAATAGGGAGACTGTGGTGAAAATGGTAACGGAATTTAGTGGAATTCCAGAATAAGTCATTGTCAAGACGGATGCAAGTATAGCTGTCAAAGAAACAGTTGAGAATACAGCTTGTGRCAAGGAAAGTATGAGACTTTTTATACGCACGAGGCTCATCTCTTTCCTATAAAACAAGAAAAGCATTAATATGCAGCCCGTAAAGTCCTCCACTGCAATGTAAAGCGCATTGAGACATTGCGAAATGCGCTATAGAAGAACCCCATTATTATTATTATATTATTATTATTATTATTATTATTATTATTATTATTATTATTATTATTATTATATGCAGTTGCTTAACCCCTAGCACTTAAAAAAGGTTTTCTTATCAAGGGAACGGATCCAGAGGAATGGATTGGTTGACTGAGAATAAATGATATAAAACTTAATAAAATCTAATAAGGACGCTATATGATCCTTTTCTAGCTAAAAGCGAATTTTCGTTTTTGATCCGCATCTGGTTTGTAGATAACCATGAACTTTGTGGACCTCAAATCATTGAAAACTTTGACGATTTCAATGAATTTTTTAACGTATTTTACTATTAAACAACCACCATTTTGTTTCCCGCCAAGGGCATTTGATATTTTTCTCTTATTCTCTCTATTTCATTACACACACCTAGCGCATAATTTATTACTACTATACTATGTCTATTCTTTGCGTACATATTTACGGTGTTAAAATAACCTATATAGAAAAAATATTGCTCTGGGATCCTCACCAGTACCCTACATTTCATATTCCGGCTGAGCTCGGCTGCGTTCCCAGCGTGGTTGGTCCTTGTAGTGTAGTGGTTAACACATCGGACTAGAACACCGAAGACGTGGGTTCGATTCCCGCCAAGGGCATTTGATATTTTTCTCTTATTCTCTCTATTTTCACTGCATACATAATTAGCGTGTCATGTAGGAATTTAGCCATATATGGGCATTGGAGTTTGAGCAGTGAAGGTGTAATGCTTTGCGACCCCTCCATATATAAGCGGCACACCCAGATCCTTGAATCATTACGTCGAAAGCTGCCTAAGGAGAGAGTAGAAGATTCACCCCACCCACCTCCCCTGGTGGAGGTTGACGACGCATCGCATGCTTCCATATCGTAATTCCCGTGGCTCGGTAATGAGTGTGCAGTGAGGATAAAATACTATTTATCACGTTTATCCATAGCGTTATTGCCATCATTATCATATTTTTTTTAACATCACCATCATGATTTTCATCCTTATAATTATCATCATCATCTTCATCATCAGTTATCATCACCATCTTCATCATGATAATTAAAGTCATCATCATATTTTTACCTTCTCAATTTCTTTACTTTATCTCTGTATGTCCATTCCCAAGCATACATCTTAACAGCTCTTATTCCCGTGATAATCTCGTTCAAAGTAGCAAGACGTTTGTCTGTAGAAAGAGCCTGATCAGCACTGAGCTTCCCGTATACATTGGATAACATTACCACAAGGAGCGAAATGATCATGCCAATAAGTGGACCCGATAAAGATTGCCAGCCAACCAAGACATACAGTAACGCCATTGTGAAGGGGAAATCAACCAAAATCATGAAGGTGAACACCAACCACATAATAATTTGTTCTAATCTTTGAGCATCGCTTGATATCAAGTTAATTATGTACCCATGCGTAACTCTTGAAATGCTACTACGAGTAGAGGCTAGAACCTGTAAAAGAAAAAAAAGAAAAAAAAAAGAAAAATTAACCGAGACAGACTTTCCTCACATAATGATCGTAGGTAACATTCACAATAGGAAAAAAAGTGCTATGAAATGACAATATTGTTTTCTTATGATTAGCATTTCTCTCAAGGAGGACCGAAATGGTGCATGTGGTTATAGTACGTTAATTAGATGAATCTAGCTAATTGGCTTAGTCTAACCCGTACAGGTTATTCCAGTTAGCTCCCACCTTATCATACTGAAATATAATATTAAAAATGATAATTCACTGATTTGTCTCACGATTGATGATCTTTCAATCGTGACACGAATGAATTAGGCCCCGTCCACACGTATCCGCAAATCTTTGTATCCGCAAATTATTTTTTGCGGATACGAAAATGTTTGCGTCCACACGCAGCGTATTCGAATCATTTTCACCGTCCACACGTATCCGTTTTCGTAAAATTTGCGGATACGGATACAAAAATTTGCGTGCTGTTTCACGGATATATCAAAGTGCAAACAATATATCCGTGAAACACTAAGGCCCCGTCCACACGTATCCGAAAATTTTTGTATCGCGCAAATTTTTTTTTTTTGCGGTTACAGGTTGCGTCCACACGTGTCCGGAAATTTTTGTGTCTGTATCCGGAAATTTTCGAAAACGGACACGTGTGGACGGTGAAAACCATTCGAAACCGATTCGAATGCGCTGCGTGTGGACGCGAACATTTTCGTATCCGCAAAAAAAAATTTGCGGATACAAAAATTTCCGGACATGTGTGGACGGGGCCTAATTACTAAATTGTTCAAAATAGTGTTAGTTAAACAAAAGAAAACAACAGAATTAGCATATATTGCACGAATATATTGTTTGCACTCTACCATATATCGGCGAAAAAAGTTGTAATTGAGAAAGTGCACAAATGTGCACAATTTAAATAGTAGTTTCAGTAACCTTCTGTAGACCGTAGACCTACTGTACTCTAATTTGTACTATTTTGTTAGTTAACTTTCACGGATATATGGTATGCACTCCTTGGTTCAAATATTGAAAAACTTTGAATACCTTCTTGTAGACAATGCTGATGCATGCTGTCTTTAATCGCATCCCTATCATAAGAGCATGTAAATTATTATGATGAAGTGCGAATGTTTTGACTAAACTACAAACACCAATGCCAAGAACAAGAAGGTATGTCAGTCGTGAGTAGCTGAAAGATCCATGGTGTAAAAGACTCAGGTACGTCCATATTAATACTGCTGAAGAAAAATTGGCGAGTGATTCCACGCACTTTAGAGTGATCAGGAATAAGTAACTCTTGCAAGAAATAAACTTGAACATCACTTTCCACAATCGAGGCTTCCGGCCGAATTTTCTAGCTTCTTTGGTTTCATTATTCCATAATTGTTGGAAGTGTTCTTCTACAATCTTGGATTTGTCCTGGTCTGGTAAAGAAAAGAGGTCATCCTTGCACAGTGGCCGTTGATTGCCAAGCCTGATTAAGCCATTCAACCAACAAAAAAATATATTGGAAAGAAAACTTGCTTGTTCTTTGGGATTTTGGTCTTTCATCTTGAATCTCTGATTAGTCACTGTTGTTAAACAAAATTGTTCCGTTCAGGTTAGTATTTTGTCATTACTATTTTCATTAGAAAGCATAATGAATTCCAAGCAGAATGGTAAGCTAGACACAACTATATTAGAATGTGAGATTTGGAATTAAAAGTATAAAAATAAGAAATACGAAAATTAAGTATAATATATACATATATACACTGAAACACGAAAACCCCGCCCTCAAAAAGCATATACATATATATCCATGGAATATATGCGTGTTCGAAAACATGAGGCTACGAAATAGATATATACACATATATTGAAAATGCGGTATTTCCGTGCCTCGTGTAGATAAATAAATAAATGAAGGAAGGAAGGAAGGAAGGAAGGAATGAATGAATGAAAGAATGAATAACTAAATGAATGAATAAATAAGCAAGCAAGCAAGCAAGCAAGTAAATTATTATTATTATCAACATTAAAGACATCAGAGCTAATATTCAATCTCTGGCTAAACCACTGTCACATGTTATATATCTATCTATTTCCACTGGCATTGCTCCTAACAGTACTAACTAAACTTGCCAGGGTGATTCCTATATATAAAAGTGGTTGTTCTTCTGAATTTAGTAACTATAGACCAATTTCTATATTCCCTGTCTTTTCAAAATTCTTTGAGAAGGTTATTTATGATAGGTTAGTTGCTTTTATAACCAAGCATTAGAATAATAAATTAGAAAATTATGGAATTAGAGGATTAGCTTTGAACTGGATTACCAGTTATTTAACAAATAGAAAGCAATATGTTGAAATTGAAAATAATTTATCTACCCAGATGACGATTAAACGCGGTATTCCTCAAGGAAGTATTCTAGAACCTTTATTATTTATATTTATGTCAACGACATAGCRAACTCTTCAGATCTACTGAAATTTATATTATTTGCCGATGATACTAATGTATTTTATTCTGGTAAAAATGTGAATAATTTAAATTATATCTTGAACTCTGAGCTTGACAAAGTTTCGACATGGCTAATCGTGAACAAACTTACTATAAATATCAAGAAAACTAACTATATACTATTTAAGCCAAGACAGAGGACATTGAATAGCAATAATCTGACTTTAAAAATTAATAATGTATTAATTGAACGTAAACAAAACACCAAATTCTTAGGGGTCATAATTGACGAACACTTAAGGTGGCTGGACCCCCTCACGCTTGACCGCTACCTTCCACTTTTGGAACGCTAGTGCATAAACGTCTTTTATCCGATTGCAAATCTTTTTTGCACATAAATCTCATAAAGATTGAATTAATGTTTGATGCAGTTTTTAGTGAGATCGGACGTCACAACACGTGATTATGATGAAATATTTGCTTTCGTTTAGAAAATAATTTTAGCCTTGCAGAGCGTTCAACACTAAAATGCTTCGTACCACATAATTATATACTGGATGCCTCCATTTGTGGGGATTTTTGAAAAAATCTATCTATCTAATTATGAGATATTTGAGATTATTTAAATATAGTGCATAATCTACTTCAAGACTAAACAATGGATTTCATACGGCCGAAATTAATATTTCAGAGCTATATATTCACAAAAGTCATTGCTCATTTAGTTTTACTCTGTATCTAGTTTTAAAAGGAACATTTTGAAGGTAATCCACTTATGCGATTTTGTGAAAACGTATAGTGCAGTAGACGGGGTAAACATTTGATACGCATTTTTCATCGCAGTTTTCTAGTCAATCTTACTAGATCTTCCATTATTCTAAAATTCRCTGATCATTTCTCTCAAAACTACGTCAGGATACAAATTAGAACTTAAACTAATATTATACAAAATTGAAAGACTATTGAACTCATTTAAAGCTGTCTAAAGCGAACGAGAAATACAGAAAACATTGATCGTTTCCCAACGATTTGATGCTCTGGGAATTCTATTGTTTGCTAATGACCATAACACCAAATTCTTTCGCACCATGCACGGTCTGATCTCGCTTGGCCCCTTTCCGATTTACTCCCGAAGCATGGTAATACAGAGTTGTGACAAACGTCCCACGTTTGAATAAAAAAAACTGTGTATTACAATGCTTCGGGAGTAAATCGGAAAGCGGCCAAGCGAGATCAGACCGTGCATGGTGCGAAAGAATTTGGTGTTATGGTCATTTTTATATATGACAACATACACCTTCATGCTTCATCAAATAATTATATCTAAATTACCCAAGCTTATATAAGTCAAGAATATAAGCCTATGGTTTCTTCTTTTAGGTGTCTTCCTTCTGGATATATATATACATTCAATTATAAAATCTGCAATCACTATTTCTTTTATTACATATTTGTACGATTATTGTTAATAGAATTTTGAATACTTGTTACTATATTTCCAGAAAGGTAGATTGAATAAACTGATTGATTGATTGATTGATTGATTGATTGAGGCGTAACGGTTAATAATGGTGAGAATAATGGTGAAAATAAAGACTTAAATATGCGTAGAACGAATATAGGCATTAATAACGGGAGGGAGATAAACTTTGATCTGTAAACCACTTCGTGACGTCGCGCGGTAGCCTCAATAATGGTTATTAGTTTTAATATGAAAGATATCGATGGAATATGTAGTGTTTGGTACGATTTTAGAGAGCAGAATTAATTTTGGGAAAATCCGAAAAAGCAGTGATGGGTGGCCGTATTGTGAGGGGCGATTGTGAGTGTATTGTAAACAGAATTCGGTTGTGAGTTTAAGCTAGTCAAAGAGTAACACTGTCTTAAAGCAGGATTTTGATAAATTGCGTATTCTGTTGATTACTATCCACGAGAAGAGCTTGTTTCTCAATAAAAATAGGATACTTGTAACGGCAGTTAAAGACAGAGTATTTCTTTCACTAGCGTAATTATAGTTCTATTCATTTGCATGTTCCGCACTGACACACATTCGATAAGCATGCGGGCATGCATATTTTTATAGATAATGTCTATTTCATAGACATTTTTGTGTAATACTGGCCAAATTTCACGGGAAAGTATTTATCATTTGTTTTGTTTTTGGCACGCACGGAGTTCGAAAAAAGCAAGAAAGGTAGTTATCAATATTCTCGAGCGACTAAAGATGTATATGAAAATGTTAAGTATTACTTACCTACTGTCCGAGACGGTCTTAGAGGAGAAGAATCGCTAGTATTCTTTACTAGAATATTTATAGGTTGATAGTAAGATGGTCAACGTTTGGCGTAGCGGTGAGAGCGCTCGCCTCTCATCAATGCGAACCAATTTTGAATCCCTCCGGGTTCGGTGTTGTACGTGAGTAGAGTTTCCAGTTGTTCTTCCTGGCTTCGAGGGTTTTCCTCCCTCCAAACAATTAACCTAAATTCCAATTTGATCACTGAACGCGAGCCACAGGGGGCCACAGGTTTGTTAGACTCTGGCTATTAAGAGCTGCTCTTGTTAAATAAGGGTTTTTTTTGATAGCGGCTAGAATCAAAAAATGCACTGAAGTATGAATCTTATCTCCTTCACTAAACAGAGCTCATCGTCTTTGTTTTCATAGTGATTTTATTGTTCACTTGCCTAGGGACGCTTGACGTGTATTTGCATATATCACAATACGGACAAAACAACCAACCTTAGAGCCATTGAACCGAATTATTCTACAAAGTCCAAATTTTATGAGTTCTYCACGCTAGTTCAAGAGGATGTTGAGGTTCTGGAGTCTAGGATACCATTACCATTGCTTCAAATATAATTGCTTCAAATATCTAAAACTGTAGAAACCGTCTCTGTCTTCAGGTCTTGGACCAGCATGTTCCTATAAGAATCTTCAAATTTAGACATACTTCAATTCCATTCATCACTCATTCACTGTGGAGTTAAAGGCACTTATGAAACATCGCGACAGTCTACGTCGGATAGCCCGTAATTCCTGTAACCTTGGAAATTGGGAAGCTTATCGCACAATTGCGAGGATTAAAACAGCAGAAACCAACTATGTTGGAATATTGTGAAAAGGTAACTTAAAATGTCTTTAAAGCTAATAAATAAATATCTCAGCTAAATTTCTATACCAATATCTGAAGTGTCTTTAATATTTGTTTTCAGGTTTATTATATATTTTAAACAACCCGTTGCTCAAGACACCGAGGGTCGCTCAAAACGCACGACTAGATTCCAATAGAGTTTTCCAATGCTGATCGATTGGCTTGTCATGATGTATGCAAGAAGTATATGGAGTTGTAAAAAACAGTAGCAGGGAAACTGTGGTAAATTTAGCAATTGTTTATGTCGTGTTTGATCTTCATATGTCCCCTTATAAACACTAAATAAACATGAAAACTAAGAAGAAGAAAAAGGCAAGGAACCACTTAAGGATAAGTGTCCCGAAAAAGGTAAAAAAATGAATAAATTCGAAGCTGAATTTGCCTGAAAAGAGTGGAAACCCGCGATGGTTGTTGTTTAATGTTTAAAAAAAACATGAAGCTAAATCCGCTGCATGTTTTCCCATTTGAGACCATTTGCCATTCCCTAGAGTGTCATCTATTTATAAGTTAATGTTTACGCATCACAAAGACACTACAAATGCAACGAAATGGGAAACTATAACGCCTAGATTATGATAATACTTTCCATGGCTTCACTTGATTTCTTGACTTTACTTTTGGTATTTGTGAATATTTAACATTAAAACTAGTCTATCACTCAGTAAAGGTGTCTGCGCTGACCTATTAACGATCATATCATGGTTTTATTCTACTAATTCCAGTCAAAACAGTCGACATTATTTTTCGTCATTTTTCAMGTTATTACAGTAACTTTGATCAAACGCTCCTATCAATACTTGTTGTCTGAACATGTTATTGAAGTTGCCAGCAGTTCTGTACCGTCCAACCACATAAACACAAGGCATTTGTCCCATTCGACCGSTAGCTTTACCAATTCCCAGCTCAGTGCTGTCTTGCCACACTACTTGAGTGAAATGTCCAGTTTCCATGCTGAAGCTAGGATTGTTAAAGTTGTATTGACAGACYTCATTATACCTGCAACGAGAGTCGCTCGTGAGTTAACCGCCCCCTGACTTAGATCATATCCCAAAGGTTGTTTCGGGATTTTATAAAATTGATGTTTGAATTAGTCTTGAAAGGAGGTTTAAATYTTTTTAAGAGATCCAAGGTCGACCCAGTTTGTCTCCCAGCCAGAGCTCCAAATGGTCGAGCGAGGGATTAATACAACTTAAGTTAGTGTCGTCAAGCCCATGCACTTACCAATTTGTAACAGCTTTTTTACCACTCATAGGATTTCCAAACGAGCTACATCCCATAGCAAGATTTTCTCCAACATCTTGTCCACGTTCAGAGCTTGATGAGTGCTGTAAAGCTCCAAGGGCAGCTATTTTCTGAGCATAGGCTTTTGCTTGCTGGTTGAGTTCATTGTTTAACCKCATGGGTGGTGCGTTATGTACAGCACGAAACCTGTTGTGTGCTTCCAAAGCTTCTTGCTCAAATTCACTGTCACCTTTAAAACCAACAAGWTCATACGAGATTAAAAAGGAAGACAAGTGAAGCGGCGTTTGTTTTATCTGTGGACGTGCATGTTCGCAAGCTCGTGGCTCTACACATACACTGCTGACTCAAACATTGAGACAAAGAAGCTTTACCGGTGGCGGGCGTGTAAAAGAAGAAGATAATAGAAGTTTGGAATAATCTTTTTTGAGACGAGTTGCGTTAAAAAATAACGCTCAGAACACTCGTTGTTCTAAACATAAACCACTGCCTCAAACATTGAGGCAAGGAAGCTTCACCGGTGGCGGGCGTCGGTGTAAAAGTTGCACCGGTTGAACTTTCAAAGTTATTTCTAATACTGTAGATMGAAGGGGTTTAGCTTGCCATATAGTACATATGTACATATAGTAAATATCAAATACTTCAGAATCAAATACATCATATATATCCGTGGAAAACGTTATTACAATTAGTATTAGCTATTCGGAATCCGTAGTTGAGGGAAAAACCTGGGTCGAAAGCTAACTCRAACCCGTTTTTTCCCTCAACCACAATGCATCGTGGACTGTTGTAGTGGATACATTTACAATATGGGACACATCTCTTCCCATAAAACAGTAGCACAATACACTGAAATACCAACTCGACCCAGTTTGTTCCTTAACCTCGGAATGGAGCTGATAGAGCTCGCTGTGCTGTAACAACGACATACGAGAAAACAAGTTGAATCAAGTAATTTGGCTTTTTATACTAAGCCAGCACTTATCACAAATGTGCTGTATCCATTTCTTCTCGTTCTTGATCAGGCCAAAGTGACCCTGCKTAAATTTACACTTTCCAGTTTGATACGCGCGACAAAAAAGAGTTTGTCGCGAAGTCGCGGTATGCTCGGCACGAGGCTGATTATGGGTCTGGAAGAGAACGCGACTCTCAAGGTGTGCGAAGGAATTGCCCCAGCACAATATTTCTTATACAAAACTTTGTATTATTATTATATATTTTTTACAATCTTTAGTTAACTTTTTCACGGATGGAGTGCAACCATATGTCCGTGATATAGCTCAATTTCTTTCTTTTTTTCAATTTTTTTCATTGCTGCCATTCTAGACTAATTAGTTAGTAATACTTCATGGATATATGGTATGCACTTTAATAGCAAGACTTTAACATCGAAATTGGGGAAAAAAAGGATGGCTATATTTACCCTGATTGGCACTGCTGCTTCCACCTCCATTGCTCCCACCTCCATTGCTCCCACCTCCATTGCTTCCACCTCCACTCGGCTGCCCTCCTGCTCCACCTTGATTGGGTCTGAGACTGTTAACTTGATTTCCTCCTTGAGTGGGTCTTGTCCATCCWCCCTGAGGTGGTCTAACTCCTTGACCAGGGCGCACCCGCCAACCGGAAGAAGGCCGTCTTCTTTGGCTTGGTCTTCTACCACCAACTCTTCTGTTCATCGGCCAGCGACTGCGTGTTCGTTGGTTCCAAGACCATGTCTTCAGTATATTCTTTAACACCTGCTGTTCTTTCTTGATCGTGGCAAAGGTGTGGKTATCGTTATGTGGAAGTGACGTTGGATTTGATTCTACGCTTTCAGGAGTGTCAAGAAAGACAGTGATGTTTTGAGCCACCCCCTTACGACTCATGTTATTCCGATACCGATCARTACCTTCATTCAAAAAAGCTCTTGATAAATTTTTAGTTCCCTGATGGATATTACTTGTGTTGAGGCGTGTGTGATTGAGGTCTTTGGTCTGTTTTATGACGTAGATAGTCATGTTGATTTCGTTTGTCGAATTAGATTCGGCATTCATCAGGTTTTGAATCAAARGGTTTTTCTGCAGCGCTGGAAGAAGGCCAATCTCTTGGTCCTTTTTGAGTTTAATTTTCAAGTTATTATCTTGACCAGTGTTGTTGCCAACARTTTTTGTTATTCCCTTGTCATGCGCACTACTCGAAGGCCGGATAGCTAAACTACGGTTGTTTTTTGAATGYAGTACATCAGCGTGTTGATTTACTTGATGGATGTTATTTAGTGGYGGACCACTCAAAATGACTGAATCAAAGTGCGGTTGTTGATAGTCTTTGTTGTTGAGGTGGCTAGTATGCTGTTCGCACAAGCAGCCGACGAGCACTGGAAAAGTACCATACAAACGAAGTCTTAGTAAAAATGAAAAAGCCAACTGCACAACCTATCTACCTATCTAAGGAATACCAACCAACGTTACTGACATGTGATGACCGCAATCAAAACAATCGAGGTCTTGGATATAAGTTTTAAGGCATACGGCTTTTTTTAGTTTTTTCTGGCTATCCATTCGCTGTTATTTAGCAATCCGTTATCACTGGAAAGGGGATCTCTGTTGAAAACAGAAYTGTCGCCCAATCGCGCATCCAATCAGAACACACGATTCTTAGAATAATGTGCTATAAATTTTACAATTTCAATAATGTGTTCYACCTTGAAAACGATTTCAAAAATTCCCCTCCCTTCCCTTCACCTCCTGCCAAGTTAGGTCTAACATGCTATCAAGGTGGTYCATGATTCCGAGATGATATAACGGACAAGATAATGTAACAATATTATATGTTTATATTACTTACTGAAAGCCAAAATGAGAAAAGTGGCCAGTTCCAATATGCCCTGAAATATGTCATTAGAATAGCATTAGCTATAACTTCAATCTAAACTTTGATTGCAGATTTGAACATATCAATCATWTCAATGTTACTTACATTCTGTTTATAACACATATCAATCCTTAACTCAACTTATCGTTGTTTGAGGAGCAAATTTGTACTTTTCCGGGCTTCTTAAGATGAAATTACGTTGTTAAATCCAGAATAGGGAAACAAATGAATTAGTAACTCCTGCCYTGGCGGTATAAAGGTCGCCAAGCCGTCATGCCCATGAACTAATTAGACTACTACTTTTTTTCTTTTGACGATCGTGCTACTGAGCGGACAAACGTCATGTTATTCTTTTTGGTTTATCCTCGCAAATAACTTTGTTATTTAAAACGAATTAACAAAACATGGTCGGAAGATTATTTAGGAACAACTGAAGGTGATATTTACAGGAAAATAACATAATGATGTTAAGTTTATTTAGTGGCAGGTAGCCACTTCAAAAGAGGCCTTGATATTAGACCCTCGATAACCTGAAGCAACCTTTTGGTTGATGTAAGTAATCAAGGCAGGGCTAACTCACAGATCGAATCGCCGAAACAACCCGTTATTTGCTTATCTAAGTCAGGGCAATGGTAACTCACAGATCTTATTGTAATTTAGCATTTGCTTTTGCGAAGAGAGGAAAAAGGATAATCCGGAATCTAGGGAGAGACCTAACAAATTTTTACTTACATGTGATGCCGGCCGGTATCAAACCGGATATCCTATTAGAGGTTGAAGGAAGAGTCAACTTACTAACGCAACGTCACCTTTGATTCTCTCGATCTTCACGGGCAGCTGAGATGACAATATGTTTAAACATTGAGGCATTTGTTATTCCTATTTTCCTTTGCTTTCTAGCTTTCTACCTTYACCAGTTTTCTTCTTTCTTCGTTTGAGACACGATGACACGATCCACTTTATCTTACTCCATTTATCATACTTCACATTGGTATTAAATTTCAGATTTCATTGTTCCAATAAAAATGGAGTGACAAGTGGCAAGTGATTGGAAATTCAATCTTCAAGACAAGAATTGATGTTATAYTTCAATTACTGGCATTTTGAGGACGAGATTGCGAATAGTGCTTTCTTTCTCTATAGAACGGAGAAAGAACGAAAAAGAACAGATGGGTGCTGTATCTTTTAGGGTACGCGATTGGTGGCCCCAAACATTAAACCGGGTGTCAGTTATAATTTATCAATTATATATTGTCAGTGTGTGTTGCAATAACTCAAAGCAAAAAAGAACAGACAGGACAAAAACGCCAGAAAAAAGAAAAGGAAACCTAAAAGACTTCTGCACCAATATGACTTGGTCTAGCTTGGGGATTTGACTGAAGTTGACACAGACTCATCATCCCAGCTAAGGTTTTATTTATTCATCTAGGTGAAGAATTTATCAGTTAATCGTGCTTCAGGGTCTTCATGATAAACTCTCTGCAGTGCTGGCTAAACTACTATCGCTATTGAGTAAACTTGCAATATGCTGATCAGTTAATGTATATAGCTATTGATCCAGGTGGTGAACTTGCTAACTTTAGCGTTGACGGAGTAGTAACCTGGTCTACAACCACCTGCTCCAAAGCTAACAACACCTTGCAGATACCATTTGCCATTCAGACTGTTCTTGCATACAATTGGTCCACCACTGTCAGTGTTGCAGGTCGATATCGTACTTGTCAAGTCATGACCAGTACACAACATGGAACTAGTTATAGGGATGCTGATGTCCTTGTAGTTTTGCTTGCATTCATTGCTACTGACGATTGGAAGTTTGGTTTGTTGAAGGATGTCTGCTTGGCTGTCCCAGTCACCAGGGATTGTCAGACCCCAACCTGTTAGCACGAGAAGAATATATCACTTCTTCAGTTGGTTTTCGTTTTACATGCCGAAAGACAGAAAGAAAGGAAGTAAGGAAGGAAGAAATATTTATGAATTGGCTTATTTTGCCGAAATTTGCAAATACCTGCAAAATTACCTTTTTGTGGATTCACGAATATAATAAGGAGAGAGAAACGGGAAGCCTTATCACACTAGTAGTTATTGGTTT